TACAAATATGAAGTTAATTAAATAAGTAGAATATGTGTGAGAAATCAAGGGAAAAAATTTACCAAAGATAAGTTTGAGTTTCCCAGCGCCCTTAATGACAGTATCAGTTGCTCGGTATTGATCACCAAATGCATGCCTTCCAATGCAAATTGGCTTTGTCCAACCTGCCAACAGAGAAAAGTTATGTAACTTTAGAAGAACACAATAAGTAGGCTGACAAATAGTAAAATACCTGGGACAAGTCGGGGGACATTTTTGCAAATAATTGGTTCTCTAAAGACAGTGCCTGCAATATATTCCAACCACAGTCACTTAACATGAACTGGTAAGCAACTTGAGTAAAAATTAACTACACACACAACAAACATATCCAAGCATCTCATTGCTAACCATTCAAAATGTTCCTAATTGTCCCATTTGGACTCTTCCACATGTACTTCAAGTTAAACTCCTTCACCCGAGCTTCATCTGCCAAGAGCCAGCACTGTATTGTAAAATATTTGTCCACTATATGAATTCATTACTACCAATATGCCCATATTCATTCACTAGCTCTACAAAGCAAAATAAATGCATCTTTACAGCATGGAATACCTGGAGTAATGGTAGCACACTTGATAGCTACATTGTACCTAAAAGAACACAAAGTTTTAGCACTCATTTAAGAGGAAACTGACATAAAACGCAAGTGAACAGACTGCAATTCAAGATTAACTTCTATATTTCTAACTGATAGAATCATTAGCAACCAAAAGCAAGAAGCAGATGCCAAATTTATTATTGTTAAACTAAAAAAAAAAAACACACACACACACATACTTGAGTGTAGCTTCTGCGCTCTCAACAGTAACTTTGTCGTCGGTAGCATCGCGGTAAGGCAATCCGAGGTCAAAGTACTTAATATCCAACTCTAGAAACGGCAAGATAAGCTGCAGAAACGTAAAAAGGACAACAAATGTATGCTTTGAATCAATTATTTCAAAAAAAATTCTCACTAGAAATCATCTAAACGAATACTTCACACAGATCAATGAGGAAAACACCGAATCACCTTGTCCTTGATCATTTTCCAGATAACTCGAGTCATTTCATCGCCTGCGATTATAAAAAAAACACGTTAATGAAGCGAAAATCACAATAAAAAAAATCAGGAAATCTTCATCACGAATCCAATATTAAGGTATAAACACTAAGAATCTGAACTTAAAACCATGAAGATTCGTTCAAAAGATGAACCAGAGTTTGGATCTGTGAATTCAAGGTGAAGAAGAGAGGGATCTGACCGTCCATCTCGACGATGGGATTGGCAACCTTGATCTTCTCGAACGCCATAGCTGGTTTTGGGAGAGAAAAGTATTTGCAGAGAAGTAACAAACAACTATGAATTCCTGGGCGCTGACTAAGACTCACCTAACACTCGCATTATATAG